AAACTAATCTAATTAAACCTAAACCTAGCTTACAGAGGACGATAATATCAGAATCGATTAGGAAACCTAACCTGAACCTAACTTAGAAAGTACGATAATATCAAGGTCAATTAGGAAAAGTACAACAAATTTGCAAAGCACCGAGTCGTAATGATGTCTATCATAATGTCCAGAATACGCGAACGCGAGTTGCGTGTTATTTAGCGGTAAAGCTGAAAGCAAAAATGTGTTCGTGGAGCGCGACATTAACCGCGATTACGTTATTCGGCAATATATATTCAGCAACGTTTCGTTAGCTATTTTAGAAAATATCCGTTTCAGCGAGAATTACTTATTGTTAGTATAAAAAAAAAGTGCGATTTATGTAATTTCTACATTAGCGATAATTATAAAAATACTGACGCGGGTCTACATTTTTCATTAGTAGGGCTTGAATTAACAATAGCTCCAATTCTGTAAAATATATATAATACTTTCAGAAATGGCAGATGATGTTGCTAATATACATGAATATTTTCTCAGCAAGTTACACCAATTTTGGATGTTCCTTTTCTCCGATTCTAACGAACGTAAATTACAATTTGTAGTAATAACTCTAACTACATATTTCGTACGATATCTTCAAATATCTCGCACAGATCATCCAGACTGTAAGTAACTTTCATGACGAAAGTACCCACCTCTGGCGTGACGAAATAGCTGGGACTCTTCTCGATGGTGATCTGGCCCCTGAAGGAATAAGGCATCTTGCGCCGATACCACTCGAGGCCTTTCCCGTAATTGTCGTCCCGGTCGAAGAAGTGCACCTCGCCGGCGGCCTTCTGGATCTGCGGGTGAAGGAACAGCATCTCGAGGAGCGCCCTGGTCCCGCATTTACGCACCCCGATGATGATCGCTTGAGGTAGATGCCGGCTGGTACGCGGGAAGTGCACCTTGCTGGAGAAGAGCAATGGCGGCGTGGCGCGCACCTGCGAGACCAGCTGGACCGCGCGGCCCTCCACCGCGGAGGCCGCGTGAAGACTGTACACCGCGCTGTCGTACAGAATGTGGAAGGTGAGAAAGAGGGAGAGCAAGACCACCGTGAGGAACGCGGCGGCCATCTTCGGTCTCGATATGCCAACCACCAGGATGCAATCCGACGTATCGCCCTCGGCCGGCCTCATGGCAGAGCGGGACATCCACCTGGTGACACACGTTATCACCAAACTGCTTTAGTACATATAATTTAAAAAATATTTATTCAAATAACAAAAGTATCAAATAACAAAACAACACAAATAACAATAATTCAAAACGACGAAAAACACGTTTCATCAGCGTGTATTTCTCAGAAAGTATATATATATATGTTTGACGGAGGATTTCAATTGAGTTGAAAACTGGAATTTTCATTCACGTTTCATCCAAGTGAAGTTTGCTGCAATTGTCGATTACATTTGCCGAAGCGAGCGCCTATAGGCGTCCCTTTAGTTCGCCTATAGGATTGGCGAACAGTGTGAAGTGAGCGCCAATCTATCTTAGATTCGAGCAGTGTGAAGTGAGC